TAAGTATTGACAGCCATTTCTAGCACATACAAAATAATAGCCTTTTGGTTGTTTTCTTGCTTTTGAAGCAGCCAGCTTCCTTATAAATTTATTAGTCATTATTCTCAAAATTGCTCTTCAGCTGAAACTGTGGTTTCTGAGTTTCCTGTATCATTCGGTTAATGCACTTTTCCAAGTCTATAACCATGAGGACCGGTTACCACATACCGTGTTTCATAGCAGATGAAAAATCCTTATGGGAGCTACCTCCCTACCCCACCAGCATGTGAAAGAGACAGATCTCTGAGATAAAAGTGACTTTTAAAAAGTGGGTTTCATATTTGAAATATTAAGGTAGCAGGGATTTTTCTTTTGTAGCATAAACATTGAGATTTTCCAAGGTAATACGGAAGATTTTATTTCAAAGACTGAAAAAGTAATACAGCATTTTATAGCAGATTACATATAAATGGAACAATACTTTTATAGTTTTTTTATTTCTTTACCTATTATGGCATGCTTTACCTGTTAGGTTTTATAGCTACATTAACTGCTTTTACACTAACCTTAAAAGTAAATATTAGTTCCTTTGCTCAGGGCTTTAAATAATCAGGAAGACTTTTCAAGCAAATCTGGCTTTAAAAATATTTTCTCATGTTGTCTTTTGCTCAGATTTCTTGGGAACTGGTATGAAGGAGGAGAGAACAGCAGATTAAATTTATTTTTATTTGCTAGAAAGTGCTTCCATTGTGAGTTTTTGTTTTGTTTTACTGGCAAAGCAGGGAAAAAGGTGGGCACTTTCTCTGCAAGGATGGTAGTTTTTGCTGTGAAGCTCATGAATCCAATGCTACATCTTCCCTAGGCAAATTATTTAAAACGTGTATGTTAAGTCATTATTTCTCATGAACACTGTGTTTAGCTCTGAACGTTCACTGTCTTTTTATTTTGAGAAAACCTATCCTGGTTGACTTATGGCCTGGACTAGTTTTTTATAAAATCCAACATTTAAGCTCTACATCAGTTTATTTGCACTGACTAGATTGTTTGAAACTAGCTCATTTTGGGGTCATCTCTAGAAATAGTGATTCCTCTTTCTGTACCTAATTTCAGGTCTAGATGTTTTTGTTACAACATTGCTCAATGCAGGTCCCCACCTAACTTTCGTACTAGCTTGTTCAAGACTGAAAGAAGGCCAGTGTGGTTGAAGCAGGGGTGGAGGAGGGTGGACTGGCGTGAAATGAGATGGGAGTGGGAGGCAGGGTCCAGTCGTAGGCAGCTCTCAGGAGTCCATCATAAGGAGCTAAGGTTTATTCTAAGGGAATCATTCAAATGGGATTGACTTGGAGAAGCAGCACATGGGGCAGGAATAGAAGGGAGATTGGGGGGGCTCTTACAGTAATCCAGGCAGTTGGACCAGAGTAATTGAGGAAACAGAGGAGCAGTCAGGAACATTTCAGAGATACAAGTTTACCGGGCGTGGTGACTGAATGCAAGCTCTAAGGGGAGCGGCATCAAGGCTGCCGGGCCGGGCAGTCAGTTCACACCACTGCAGAGGCCACCTTAAGGCGTTGTGTGATTCTTCTGATGGGTCAGTGCCTTTGCTCTACCTGATGACGAGATTTCATGGAAAAACTAGGGAGAGAGGTCTAGAGGGGAAAGTCACAGTTCTGTACACCTGCATATTTTAACATTTCCAGATTGATGAAACTTTAAAAGTGCCTTCGTGAAATTTTTCTGAAGTATTATTCAAATAACAATAATACCACAAACATTCCAGACAAAAATAACAAACATGAATCTCACTCCTCCTACGACTTGTGAACCGTCCAGCCACTAGTAAGTTGGCAAAGTGTTTGAGAAAGCCTGGATGTGTTTCATATCAGGGTCCTCAGCCTCAGCACTGTTTACAATTAGACAGGATAATTCCTTTTTTGAGGGCTGTCCAGATCACTGCAGGGTGGTTAGCAGCATCACTGACCTACTAGATGCCAGCAGCACCAGCTTCCAGTTTGAAAAGTAAAAGTTTCCAGATATCACCAAATACCGCCCCCCCCTTGGGGGGAGGGCGCAGGCAAAATCCTCCCCAGTTGAGAACCACTGTTTTATACTAGGGAATAAAACTTTCAAGAATGGTGCTAATGGTAACAAAACTAACATTTCTTAGCACTTGTTATAGCCCTTTAATCTTATCAGAACCAGTGGAAAAATTTAGCAGACAAAAATCTGCTAAAGTTGTAAATCATAAAGAAGTAAATGCTTTAAATTTATCTTTAAGTTAAATATAAATCCATTCAACAGTTGTATGATGTTGGGCCGTGGCCTTGAATATTAATCCACTGACTGGATTTCAAAGTTGTTAAGGTACATAATGCATTTTCTGCTATTTTTAGTTTCAGGTATTTTAAAATGGGAAAGAAATTGGATTCTGCTTTCATTCTTTTTGTTAATATATGCTTGTCCTTTTTTTTTTTTTAGATTTCTCAACTATATCTCATTTAATCAAATTTTGGCTATATTAAAAGTACTCTTGATACAGTTAACCTAGTTTTCAAATGACTCCATAAGTATTTTACAGTCACAGTTCAAGGGCTACTGAACATTTAATTAAATTACATAATTACCCTCAGTATAACAAGTGGGTTCATTGGCCACTGCCGCTCATTCCCTGTAAGCGTACAGTTCATCTCATGGGAAAGAAGCACATGGGGCTGCTAGAGAGCAGCCTGCTAACCACAGTCTTCGGTGTATCATGTCACATGCCAGCACACCCACTGGGCCAGTTTCTTCAGGCAGAGACTGGTTAAGAGGCTCTGGATGTGCCAAGCACTGTGTATGTAAAGTACTTTATTTACATTATCACTTTTAACCCACAACAGTCCTAACACAGATTCGTTAACACTTGGTTTTCTTTGGAAAGCTAGAACATAACAGGTAAGCGTCTTGCACAAGGGCACATAGGTAAACATTGAACGGCCAGGATGAGCACTCCCGGTGGTCTAGCATGTGCTCTCCCATCTCATCACCAGTCTAAGGCCATCGGGGGTCAATGCTCTGCAGAGCACTAGGTTCCAGTTTGGTCCATGACCACAAACTACACCTTTGAATCTTGACCTGTCATCTTCAAAATAGTGCTGTGGCTAGAAAATAAGGGAGATCAGGATAAATCCATCACTTCGAACAATTCCAAGCATTCAGTGACTGAAGCCTCAATTCCATACATTTAAGGCTAACCCAGATATTGCCTATATTCATTTCCTATTGCTGTGGGAACTAATTACCACAAACATAAACTTAAAACAGCACAGACTTACTGTCTTAGTTCTCTAGGTCACAAGTGCAACGCAGGTCTCACGGGGCTAAAATCAAGGTGTTAGCACGGCTGCTACATTTTCCCCCCGGGGGCTTTACAGGAGAATCTATTTCCCTGCCTTTTCCAGCTTCTAGAGATCATCATATGCTTTGGTTCATGACCCTCCTCCCCTCCAACTTCAAAGCCAGCAACATTGCAACTCCCTGAACACTCATCCATAGTCACATTTCCCTCTGATTCTGAACTTTTCTGCTTCCCTCTTTAACTTTTAAGGACCCTGTGATTACATTGGGTCCACCTGGATATTGCAGGCTAACCTCCCTACCTTAGCAGTATGAGGTTTGGAGCCTTGGATCAGTCTGATCCTGTTCAGTTGTATCAGCTCTCTGTTTTTAATGGACATTATCAAAAGTTATGAGACTGAAAGCTTGATTTGTATGAGAAATCAGCCATGATTGAATTGTTTAATGTATTAAATCTGTCCTCTAAGTCCATGTAAATGGATCAGCTATATATAAATAGATACAGAAATACTGGAGTCCTTTCATCTTTTAGTAGTTTGAGATGGGTATAATCAGCCTCACCAAATTCCACACACAAGGTTCTAACACAGAACCTTGTGTTTGTTACAGAACGTATTTGATACTGAACAATAGTAATTTTCATTGAAACTTTCTATTTATGACTCCTCCTGAATGTGTCATTTTAAATGACTCATGTCAGTGGGATTGTGTTGTGTTCATCCAGCCCTGCTGTCCAGACATGGGCTTTTTGTCCAATGTGTGTGAAATGGGCACAGAACTTAACTGTTTGTTCCCTGAGAGTTTTGTAAGTTTTTACCTAACATATTCCTTTAACAGAAAACACTGAGTTGAAAACAGTCACAGTGGTCACTGTTACTGCACAAAAAGCCACTACTGACTCAAGACTGTGTGACTCAAGTATGATGTAAGATGGCCATTTCCTTAAAAAACTTACAACTACACTTGAATTCTAGAAAGAGCTATGAATTAATAAACATTCATGATTTAAAGGTGGTAAGTTCAACAATAAGAAATTAAAGAGGGCAGAGATATTAATAAGCACCATTTAGGGAATGCTTATGTCCCATGTGCCTGGCCCTTTGCTCACATTATCTCATGTCATCCTCACAGCCCTACAAGGTAGGTAGAGTCTTCCCCAGATTTGATAAAAGAACTGGAGGTCAAAGCCTAAGTAACCTGCCTGGAAACACGGATGTGGCAGGTGGTGGGTCGGAGATTTGAAGTTCAGTGTCTCACTCCAAATGTGTTTTTATTTACTGTATAGTTTTTTAACTGAGTATGTTCTAACATTTTCCACTTTTACTTAGGAAAATAAGAGACTTTAAGAAGTCTAAGTAGTGAAATTTTTGTCTGTGGCACAAAATATTTCAGAACTAGCATTTGAATAGTTATATAAAACACTAATGGAATTCTTTAAAACTTTTGCTAAGGTAATCAAGGCAAACAAATTTGACATATTTTAGGTAAAAGATTATTTAAATTAAAACTTCAGTTTCCTGAAGTTGAAGCAGGCCGCTGCTCTGACAGAAAACCACAGGTATCGCTTAAAGATAGATAAATCATAAGCATTAAAATTACTGAGGAAAACCTAACTTGAAAAGTTTAAAAAGTTAAGAACACTTCTCTATATCTTCTAATAGGTTTTGTTTACTATCTTTTTGTCACAGGAGATGAGTATGATGTATGTGCCATCTGTCTGGACGAGTATGAAGATGGAGATAAGCTCAGAATCCTTCCCTGTTCCCATGGTACGAATAATTACATGTTGCTTTGAGCTGACATAGTAAATTTATATTTAGGTTCAGTATTAGAAGGGGACAAAAAATAGTTATTAGCACACGCTAAGCCAGGCCCTGTACTAACTAGTGGTCTCATTAAAGGATGGAGATGTATTTATAAAAATTTATACTTTTCTTTTGTCCCTACATGATGCATATAGATCAGAATAACATTAATAAACATGGTAAAAAATTAAAAATGTTCACAACCGCAGTATACTTCTTAAAGATGTATATTTTGCCTCAACAGCCTATCACTGCAAGTGTGTAGACCCTTGGCTGACTAAAACCAAAAAAACCTGTCCAGTCTGCAAGCAGAAAGTCGTTTCTTCGGAAGGGGACTCCGAGTCGGACACGGAGAGCAGTCAGGAAGAAAACGAAGTGTCAGAACATACCCCTCTGCTCAGGCCCGTGGCTTCTGCCAGCACCCAGTCGTTTGGGGCTCTGTCGGAGTCCCGCTCGCATCAGAACGTGACAGAGTCCTCAGACTATGAGGAGGACGACAATGACGATACTGAGAGCAGTGACACAGAAAGTGGCGTTAACGAGCACAGTGTTGTGGTCCAGCTGCAGCCCGGCGAGCGGCGTTACAGCACAGCAAATACGGTTTGACCGGGTGGGCGCCCGGGCCACTTCCCTTTCAAATGTTTAGTTAGGTATAGAATTTGATTTTTTTTTTCTCCCTTCACAGATTTCTGTAGAAATAACTTATTTTTTAGTATCCTACAGTTTAATCTTGCTGAAACAGGTGGGTTTTTTTTAATCTAGTATTATCTGCAGGAGTGTACTTCATTTAACTAACAAGTAATAACAGACTGGTGCTGTAACTAAAGCATCAAATCAACTCTTATTCTGGAATGAAATATAGCCAAAACATAAAAAAAGAATTCTCAGTATAGCTTGCAATTAAGACCTAGATCACAGTGTGCAGTCAGTGCTGTGGGCACCTCGCATGAGCTCAGCCAGCTCCCACCTCCGTAGCGGTACCTAGCCTAGAGTTGTGGAGTTGGGATTTGGTCCGGTCCTGCCCCAGGTGGCCACCGTTAGGGAGAGGCAGCAAGGTGATTTAGCATTTTCCCACCGATTGGCAATAAAACACAAAGCCTTTTCCTTTCTTTTCCCAAGTAGTTTCATCCTGAAAGGAATGTCAGATTTCAAGTTTTAAGGTTTTTAATACTATAGTATTGCATATGAATTTGATTCGTTAGCCAAAGTAATATGTGTCTCTGGACTTAACTTACTGAATTTCAGTATCCTTAAGGTTTTTGTGTTGTGATCAAAGTAAAAAGGAAGTAGTGTACAAAAATACCAAACTTCAGCAACCGCTCACACACAGATAATATACCTCTCAATAAAGAGCATCTTGCGCTGATTAGCCCTGCTAAACTATGTACAGAGGAAATTGTTCAAGTATTGGATTTGAAAATAATTGCTTCATGTTTAACAGAACTAATGATGTATATAAACAGTTTATTATGAAAAGCTAAATTATATTATACATCATTGTAACTACGTAGAAACTATAGACTTATATATAATCAGAATGCTAAGAATTTTTATATGGCCTTGTATGAAGGGAGTTTGAATGTTAATAAACACGTTTTCCACTTTAAGCACTTTGTTCTACTGGAGCATGACCGCCATTGGCCTTACTTTAATAGGCAGTGCTGTAGAGGTATAAAGCTACGGCGACTAGGGTCATTTAGGTCAGACACACACATCACCCTAGAATTTTATACGAGGTAACCGACTGCTCAAAAGTTAAAACTGCAGCCAGAATCGTTCCAACAGTAATGGGCATTCTGGTACCCTGTTGTGATGACACGCTGTGCACCCCTACTAGGCTGCTGAGGGGACATAGTAGGTATCTTGACGTGCCTGTACTGGCACTCGGGACTGACTATACCAGGTACATGAGCCTTTGTTGTAAAAAGAGAAAAAATAATACATTTAAAAGAAATGTAACACTGTTAGGGGGAATTTCACTTTCTGGATTGCTTTTTAGAAAAAGTCTTATAATTAACCCCAAAAATAGTTATTTCTGCTTATGAAAATAAAAGCTTGAATTCAGTATCTACTGTCTGACATCTCATTTCCATGCCCACAGGCGTGAGAAGTAGAACATTAGTGTACTTAGTGCACTATGATAGATAGAGCTTTGGAATTTGGTAATTTATTTTCATTCAACCTAAGGTAGGGTGTGAGGACAAACACTGAACTCAGTGCCTGGCACATACACACAGTAAGTAATAGCTTTTATAGTTATTAAATAATAAACATCAAAGCTGAAACAATTTTTTTTTTAACGGGAAAAGTCAAATCACTGTAACATGAATTAGATACTGTGTTCCCTCATTTCTTAACCTGTGGTTCAGATCAAATGACCTGCTTCCTCTACATTTAAGTTAGGAGTTTTTCTGAGGTAAAAATGACTTTTTTTAAAAAAACTCCAAACTGTTATTTAGTTGTAAAATGTATGAAGTGTCGTAATTGTTACTAGTTCTAATATTCACTTGAGATCTTTTATAATGTCTTCATGGTGTAACTATACAATTTTTTAAATAGGACATTAAATAAAATGAAAATCAATTTCTCTTCAATACCTTCATAATTAAAATTTTTTCTAATTATAAAAGGATAGTCACCTGGAAACTTACCCCAGAGATAAAGTTTATTTTGACACTTTGCTTCTAGAAATATATACATGTATATTATGTACTATATTTATACTGTATGTAACGTGTTTATATCCTCATGTTACTTAACATTCATTGGTGAGCATTTTCTCATGTCATTCTTCAATGAGTGTTTTATTCTCTGGACAATCATATAATATATATAACCCATAACCCTGAAAGTTGACTTTCCTAGTTTTCCAAGTTTAGTTATTATAAGTATTGCTATATGATGGATATTCTGGCATATAAATTTGTATAGCTCCATTTCTTTAGGTTAAATTCCTAGAACTAAGTACAAAGCAAAGATACATGCTTAAGTTTTTATAAGTGTTTTTCTAATGAAATTGTGCATAGGGGGCCAATGACTAGTTTCATCATTTACTATTTTAATGATTCAGATGCCCACTACCATCTTCTACTCACCTACGCACACCCCAAACGCACGTCCCCTCACCTACTTAGAGGTTCATTCATTAAGGGTTTCACAATTCTGGTTGCTGCTTTCTAATCAATTACCCTAACAGTTCTTTACAACTAAAGTGTGAATTTATATTACCATAAAATACCAAATCATTGCAGCCCAACCACCGAATTTTCCCTTGACCAACCTTTTGTTCCTAAAAGGGATCTCAACAGGTCAGGAAGTTGAAGTTTTTGTTCCAGTTTTACAATTTCTAAGGTGCACCCACCCAACTACCAAAGTAGCCCAAATCCCCATCTTCCCAACTTACTTTTACATCCCTTTATGTACAAATTCACAACTACTGCCTGACAGTACTTCAAAGAAAAAACTTTTACTTATGCCCAGTATATTTAAGTAAGGCAAAGAGATTAATTCTCATTCCCTAACCCACTGTTTCTCAAAGTGTAGCACACAAGCTGCTTAAAGTGATTCAGACTGACCTGCCATCGTTTGTAAAGCACCTTCCTGGGAGTGTGGAATTTCCATCTCCAGGGTAGAACCCCAGAGCCTAGAATCTGCATTGTACCCAGCTCCCGATTCACTTAGACACACCAACTTTTGAGCACCCCTGCTCGGAGCTTCTGCTTGATAGTTCATGGTAATGATTTATCTAAACAGTATTAAACTAACATATTTACTAAACTTCAGTATATCTCAGGGACCTTCTGACCTCTGGGATTAAACTTGACTTACATAGCTATAGTTAACATGTCACTCCAAAGCCAGAAACTGCAGGAACATCCCGATCATTTTATATGCTGCCTAAGGAATGTCTTCTCTTAGGTGCGAGTCCCAGTGGGCTGACTTCAGCCTCCCAACATAGCCTCCAAACCTAAAGAAATCATATCACGGCACAGAAGAATCCACAATGCAGAAACCCTTGTTGGTACTGGGGCCCTTACTGCTCACTAGATTCCACACCTAGAGACCAGCAACAAAAGTATTTAATTTCTAGTGGACATACTAATTTTCCTCTCATAAGCCTGAGATGACTAAAAGGCATTTTAATCAAAAACCATTAAAAAGAAATTCCTAGGCACTCATTTTATTTATAATAAATACTACAGGAAATGGGGTAGGCCATCAATTGAATCTTTAAAAAAGATTATATGCTTGCAGCAGCTTTTGGCCTATTCTTCATATTCCCATTGTGTAAAAATCAAGTGTGACAGTAAGCCAACAATTAACAACAGGAGTCTGGAGTATTTGGTTGGAATAAATTTATTTCATCTGTCTGTAAACAAGGTGTTTAATAGTTATGGCATTTTTTTAAATGCATATTAAATCAGATGAGTTAGACTGTATCCCAGATGTAACAAAGTGCAGGGAAAGAAATGGACAAATCAGCAACAAGATTTGTTTTTAAATCTGTACATTATCCACAAGGCCCAAACAATAGAAGCAAATACTAGAATGTCCCTAACGTAGTGCCATTCAAAAGAAACCTTTTATAGGTCAGTTAAAATCCATCTCACAATAGCAACAGTTCATTTTAACAATAGTATGGCACAGAATACATATGAAAAAAATTCATCACAAGACAGCCAAGTCCACAATAATGCAACTTCATATAAAAACTTAAGCTGCAAATAAAAATTGGTCCTATGAAGAACAAACTGGACACACTCCAGATGGTTATGTTGGGACACCTAATGTCCATAATGGCAGCCTTTTACAATTTTACTAAAGAGTAGAGCTGGTGTGCAAAGAAAAAGATAGGAACAGAAGTCTGAGCTATTGCAATGATGGAATGTCCCCGGGGAGGCAATCAGTATGGTTACTGTGAGGTCATGGGAGGAAGTGCCTTTTGCTCTTGTTTTGCAGTTGCACTCTTCGTATGTCCTGTAGACTATGAAAAAAGGTTTGTCTACTCAAGTGCAACAACAATACTAAAAGCAAACTATTGCAGCTCTCAATAGCTCATCAACAAAAGGGATTGTTAATTGGTTAAATAAATCAGGCACTGCATAAAATAAGGAGGAAGCAAATGAAATACTTCCTGTGCGAAGGGAGGTGTGAGAAAAGAGGAGTGAAGGAAAGATGCATGCATGTTCTCCACCCAACCATGCGCTACAAAAGGAAGACTAAATGAGCTAAGTAAATGCTCAAAGTGCTGAAAAGACACTGATCAAATTAGAGATTGTACACCGGCACCTTGCTTATATTAACGTATTTTAGTAATCAATATCCCATTAATTGCTAAAACATAGTGATGCCCAACTTGGCATGCCCCCTCCCCCCCAATTTCAAGGTATCATGCAAATCATTATTGTGCTGCAATTATGTTGCCAGATAAGGGTTGATTACATACAGCGGTTAACATACAAATGATCCATTGGGCAAATAGGAATCATGACATTAGAAAAGAGGTAAAGAAAAATTAGCTACCATATAGTCTGGTAGCACTGTGACCATAATTGGGGTGGTGATGAAGACAGTTGCTAGGTAGATGGGGAGAGGCTGCTTACACATCAGACCTCCTCAGGTATAAAGCGAGTTCATATGCTTTCTTGTTAAGTGTGCCTCCGTGGACACCTTCCTTTCCCATGACTATAACCAATGCTGGAGTACACAAGGAAACAAAACAAAGTGAACAGAATTATTTAAGGGGGAGGGCAGAAAGAAAGATACCTTTCCCCACCAACAGAGGGATACAAAGGAGACACAGGTTCATACCCCATCACCCTGCATTGCTAATAAAATTTCCAGAATTAAGACTCAAGCTTACAGCTAGGAAAGTTTAAGAGCAATTTTCCCCTAATACTTAACAGTCTGCCTAGCAGCTAGAACCCAGAGTCTCTCAAGTATTTTGCCATTGAGTATGCCTTCTTATTCAATCCGCCTCCATGGACCCCTTCTTTTCCCATTACAAAGACCAAGACTGAAAGAGAAAGAAGAAAAGTGTTTCAAAAGAAGTGTTAATCAAGAAAGTCACATAAGTTTTAGCAGACAGAACCCCGATTAATAAGGTAACATTAAGTTAGTTTTCCATGAACTGTCAAGCACTGAAGTCAACTAGGTCTCCAAAAAGGACAACTTTCAAACTAGTTATATACTAAAAACTATTAACTGCATTTTACAAGTCCAATCAATGCAGCTGCAGGATCTATAAAAATATACTAGCTAGGGGAAAAAACTGTGATCATTTATCTTTCATTCTAGGGCAAAAAACTGGTTAGTATGACAAATGCATATTAGACTGTCCCCAAAAATGTAAACTTAAAAAACGCAGGTGATTATTTTACAAAATTCTCCCAATTTAACAGGCTTGATTAAGTACAAACTATTAAGTTTTACCAGTGAAGCTAAATCTGGGTCTATTACCACCTCCAGAGGAAAACCAAGATCACATTTTCAATAGCATTTTCAGTCCTAGTCAGAACAGGTGAAATTAAAGGTACCCAAGGCTTATGCTTACTGCTCTGGCTTTGTTTTTCATTAAGTCTAAAATCCTGAAATAGATTTATTATTTCCAACAGGTTCTTCTATGATGAGATTCAAAGGTCTACCCCCAAAATATATGTATGTCAGATTTTACACTCACAGCCACTAGATGTCAGCAGTGCTATATGGTTGAAAATCTTCATGTGGTTTTATGCCACCTGGTTGATGGCTTTTTAACATTTATCTGAGCTCAGCTAATATTTAAAGAGATTTGTCTATTCTTTCAGTCACCTAACTTTCCTATAGAGAAAGAGTCATAAGCATCAACTCACATCAGAATAAGAGTAACCTTTAGGACAATCAGAGGGAGTTGGTAAGACTCTTACAGTAAATTACAGCTCAGAGGAGCTTCCAATTCCTTCACATGGTACATTTGGTCTTATAAGTGCCAAGTCCACTGTATGAGACTACACAAGCCCTCTTTATTTACAAAGTATTTACACAGGTTAAATATACTTTGTAAATTAACTAGATGTCATAATAAACTTCAATTTTGAAAGTTCTGAAAAAGTAGTGAGACTTAACTGCAGTAAGATTTTCTGCAATGTTGACAACAGTCAGGAAACACCAGAATTTCTGGATCAAATATATAAATGAAATACAATTTCCTACTTCTCATATCTAAATGACAGGTAATTTTTGAAGATACTTTAGTAAAGGGACAACTTACTCCAAAACCCTTATACTATTTCTTTCTTTCTTTCTTCCCTGCAGTGTTTCTAATAGAAAAATGAGTCAATGTTAACGTTCCCATTTTTATGCTGAGCAATGATTGATTAAAATGTAGGCAAGAAGAGGAGATTCAAAGGTCAAAGGCTCAAAGGGACTAAGGTAACCTATCTGAGTGATCTAACAATCTGGATACACTGTAAGATTGTCACTGGACATGTCAAGCAGTTTAAGAGACAAACTTAGATTTTCAGTTTATTAAAGCTGAAACTAGAGAGCTGGAATGATATTCTACTTCAAAATAAAGTCAGGACCTCAGAGAGTAGGCTGTAGATGCAGCTGCTGTACAGTGAGTAAATTTAAAGCAGTGCCTCCCTTCAGTGCAGTGCAGTTCACAAAAACCACCTTAATAGCCATTATGGACTAACACTTTTACTCAAAATGTTAAAGAAACTGCTTAATAAGTCGTAATGTGGCATGCAACTTTTAACAAGATTGCCCTGCTTACCTCTGCCGGCTCTGCCCACTGCAACGTTGTATGTCGGCTCCCCACCTTGACTCTTTGTCCGGATGTCCATTGTGCAGTCACCATCCACGTACAGACTGTCTCTGATCACTGAGCACTTCTTGGCGCCAAGAGTCAAACCGTTGGTAAAGAAACCTTCCCGGTCTTTTCCTACAATCATATCTATTTCTATTGGCTGTCCCCCGCAAAAAAGGAAAAAAGAAATGAAGTTATAGTTAATTCCTTTCAGGCCTCAATATAACAGGAAAGACTTTGCACCGAGTTTTTACTATCAGTACGAGACACCCACATTTCACTAATGTAAAATCAAGTTTTAGTCTTTTCTAAAGAATAGCTTAATCCTACGTGATTACATGTTTTACACTGATTAGATTTCACAGTTCACAGTGTAGTCTGCTAACTAAAGACCAGTCTATGAAAAGACTCTCGATTCACCTATAAACTTTCAGGGACAGCTTGTCTATCACACCCAGTCCCATTGAATCAAATTTAAAGTTGCTTGAAAGTCTCCTGAAATAAAGCCCATGCTTATGGCAGGTCTGTGCACTTCTCTGCTTCAAATAGCTTGACATCTCCCCCACAAGAAATGACTTCAAATCCTGGACCTCAGCACATTCCCAAATTCGTATTTCCCTCCTACTTTTCTAGGCACGACTCCTTTTTCCCCCCAACTTCTCTGCCCTCCCACCTCAGTAATCAGTTTTCATTCTGGCAAATGCCAAGAGGATTTGGTAGGTAGCACTGCAGGAGGCGATGGTAAAACAACAAAACAAAAACACAACACACACACACACAGAACATGGAGGGGGGTTTGGAAAGAAACTGAGGCAGCCAGCAGAGCCGGCAAGGAGCAGCAGCGCCTTCCCACACTCCGCGAGCTGGAAGGCGTCGCCCCCAGAACTGCAGAGTCATCGCAGGCCCGGCCGTCGCCGCGCTCGCCCCGCGGTCCTCCCGCCCGGCGGCGGGAACCGCACCGCACCGAGCGCGCCGCAGGGAAAGTTGATCACCAGACGCCACTTCTCCGTAAGAACCGAGTCCACTGCGGCTACGGGGGCCTTACACTAGCGCCACGGACTGAGCTCTGCACAGTCACATCTCAAACCACGCTAAGTAGTACAAGGAGAATTAGCTGCACCCCAAACGGGGCGCGAATTTTAGCGTTTGGTGGGAAGGGTGCGTGAGGCTGAGAGATGAAGGGAATGGCTTTAAATTCGATACAATTGTCATAATTTTAGAAAGAACCTTGTGCAGAAGAGGCAAAACAATAAAGCAGCATCGGGGGCTTAGCGACAATTATTTCCTACCCATGTGGCCACCAAGTCAAAACCATCAAGTCACAAAATCAGACACTGGGAAGAATAAATCTGCATTAGCTCCTTACTACCATTACGAAAGGGGGAGGGACTTGGGAGAAGTGAAGTGTCCCCTTGGTGTTGGCAGGTTACTGAAAACCCCATAAAAGCACCCCTTTTTTAGAGCTATGCTGCGTAATCGGGGATAACGGTATATCGATGACTCTCCATAGGAGGAGGAGAGAAATCAATGGCAGTTCGCCATCTTGGAGAATTAAAAAAAAAAAAAAAAATCCTATGGAGCCAGGGCTGGAGTCGGGATTCACGAATCCACCTACGCCGTCGGCGTGCATTTCTCACAAGCCCCAGAGGCCTGGACACCGGCAAACCCACGCGAAGTCGCGGCGGGGATCCCGGGGGCCGG